AATTCAGTACTCCTGAACTTTATTCTAAAGAACCATCCCCCCATATGCCTGAAGAACTTTAAATCAGTAGTTATAGGAAAGAACCATGTAAACAGATTATAAACTGTTTTTTTCAGATTATAAACTTTTTAAACATTTTTATTTTATTTAGTTTTCTTTTTCATGTATGGGTGTTTTGCCTGCATGTATTTATGTGTACCACATGCATGCAATGCCTATGGAGGCCAGAAGAGGGCACTGGATCCCCTGGAATTGGAGTTATGGATGGTTGTTAGGCACCATGTGGGTGCTGGGAACCAAACCTGGGTCCTCTGCAAGAGCAGTCAGTGCTCTTAACATCTGAGCTGTCTCTCCGGCCCCTCTCATCCATTCTTTATGAAAGGGCAAAACTTCTTAAACATATTCTTATTTAACAGATTCTACACGTAACAGCATTTGTTCTGAATAGACAGATAAAGAGCTCTTCATCTCTTCCACTCCTGGCATCTTGGGTAGTATCGTCTTTCATACTTCTCAGAAATTCCTATTGTAGTTCAGTTACAGACCTTTTTATAACATGATCCTAATGACCACCGTATACACTGCTTACTGTCTGCAACCATTTACTGCCTCGAGGAAGCCTGGACAGGTGATAAACATACACACTCCAACAGCAGCTGGTAGAAAACCAGCAGCCTCCCATGCACTAACTTCACGTAAAGTCCTATTACTTGTTAGTCTTGGCAACAGGAAACAGGAAGACAGCACACGAATGAAACATACATGATCTCTATTTTCATTGAGCTTATAATTGTGGAGCTGTGAAGAGACACATTAGATAGTGTGGTCAGAATCTCCTTGAGGACATGACAGGCTGCAAGCAAGCGATTAGGAGTCAACCATGTGAAAAATGTTCTAGAGAAAAGTGCAAGTGAGGCAGGCAAGAAATAGGCAGATTTGATTTAAAGACAAAAACAACCAAGGTCAGAGAAGCACATGAGGGCCCCCTGGCACACCCCTCCCCTCAGTCATATGGTCTCTGTGAATGAAACTTCAGCTACAACATGAAGGTATACTGGCCAAATGAAGATCACTAACCTGCTTCCTTTAAATGGTTAACATGGGTAAATTTATCTCCATTTTTAAAAACTGAACTTGCACACACCCACTCTGATGTGATACCCCAGAGAAGCAGTGGCAGTTTGAATTAAAATGGCAGCAGTGAGCCTAAAGAAAAGTGAGCAGCACTGAGGGCCTATGGAAGCAGACTGGCAATTTTCATATGCTATGGAATATTACGAGGCTGATTTCAACAGCCAACTAGTTGAGGAAGAAAGAGGCTGAGAATCTCGGGACCAAATCAAAGTAAATCTAACTAATTACAGATTCCATCTGCAACCTGATGAAAATTAGAAAGTTTAGATTCTTTCTTAAATGGTATACTAGAAAGAACAGAGAAATAAGATGTGTTTGTGAGTAAATTTACCTTTTAATCCCAATCTGGTAGTACTTACATGATACTGGCTCAGTAACTACACCTGTCTAATCAAGTACTTTTCTTCCCATCTCCTTTACCCCCACCTCCCATTTTGTTTGTTTGCTTGTTTTGTTTTTGGCAGGGTCTCACGGAGTCCGAGATAGCTTCATACTTGCTATGTCGCTGAGGTTGACCTTAAACTCCTGATCCTCCTAGCTCTACCTTCCAAGTGCTGGGATGTGCACATACTACCACACCTGGCTTCCAGTACTTCATTAATCGCATTTATCATATTCCACTGTGATTTTCATATCACTTTTCAACTTTAAAAATGTTTTCTCTGAAAAATGGGGATTTGTTGCTGTTTTTCTAATGTCTTAATTGTTTGATTTTAATCCACCCAGACTCAAGTGTTTGGGCATATGGTACCAGATGAGGAATTAGAATAATTTTTTTTCCTAGTAGCAAACCAAATGTCCAGAGCCACTGACTAGTCACAGTGCTCCCCAAATAGCTCAGAACTAGTTCAACAGTACCGCACTGCACACTCATCAGCACATACTGACGCCATACTTAGATTGTCAGTCACTCTGCTAAGATATTAAGGATTAATCTATATTATCATACATAACACATTCTAGTGAGAAGAAAGTAGAGAGGTAAGCACAACATAGCGGTGCTAAGTGGTGTAACAGATGTACAACAGACGCTTATACAGGATGGTTTGGTGGGGTACAGCGAAATTCTCCCAGATTATTTGACAACTCAATTTTGAACTTTTGAGAAGGAGCTGATGGTAGCCAGAGAGTGAGTGTGGGAAGGCATACCGCAGATACTGGGCACAGGCAGCATGCTCAAAGACCCTAGTTAAAAATGTGATGCATTTCAGCCTGGTCTACATAGCGAGTTCCAGGCCAGCTGGGGCTACAGGAAGAC